TAGATGGATGAAGTCTGTTTGTGGAGATGTGGGAGTAGATTAGTGTTGGTGCTGTGGTGTAGTTTCTAGTGATGGCAAATTGGTAGTAGGTAGTATTGCAAATTGAGGACCTGTTGGAGATTCATCTCCAAGAAACATGGGTGACTTTGTTGATGGAGTTGGAAGGGCAGCATTTGTAATAAAGGGAAAGCTATCTTCATGAAAAAAGACATCTCTGGAAATAAGAAACTTATCTGCTGCGGGATCATATAGATGATATCCCTTCTGTAACATTGGATATCCCATAAAAATGCACTGAGTGGCCTGTGGACCGAATTTATCATGAGACCCAATAATGGCAGAATAACAGAGACAACCAAATACTTTGAGATGACTGTTTTTGGGTACCTTACCAAACAATGCTTCATATGGACTTTTGCCACCAAGGACACGAGTTGACATCCGATTGATCAGGTATGTGACAGTGATCACACATTCTCCCCAAAATTTAATGGGAATGTTGGCTTGGTGTTTTAGGGCTTTGGCTACTTCTAATAGGTGTTTGTGTTTTCTTTCTACCACACCATTTTGTTAGGGAGAATAGGTGTAAGAGCTTTCATGTAAAATGCCAAGTGACAAAAACAACGAGGAGCACTGATGGCTAAAAAATTCCCGACCATTATCAGTTCGAACCCTTTGAACTGATGACTTGAATTGGGTGGTTACCATGGATAAGAAATTACTAATGTGAGTGAGAGTCTGTGTTTTTGATTGCATAAGGAATACCCAAGTGCCTCTGGAGAAATCATCTACAATGGTGAGGAAAAACCTAGACCCATCATGATCTGGAGTGTGATATGGACCCCATATATCGATATGATGTTAGAGTAGGTGTTCTAGAGCCAATCAATTATTGTAGAATTGACTCTTTGTAATAATGTTTATTGATTAATAAAAAGGAATTTTATTCTATATCGCGTAAATCAAATCGTATGTATTGATATATGTCCTTAGAATGGTAGAACCGTGACGAGAGTATCAAGTATTTCAAATCTTGATGGTGAGAACCCTATGAGCGCATATGGTGGCCATTCTAGAAACGTCCGTAGCTGATAAAAGCTTGAAAATACATTTTTTGTTAGTGATTCAATTGGATTATTTGTGGAAAAATGTGTTTAATTTGTGAAATTTAACTTAATTATTTTATAAATGTCTTTTATGGGATCACGGGTATGTTTCGAGTGTTTTCAGGTTCTTAAAATGATATTCAGATGAAGGTTATATCGATGATGGAATGTGGGACAACAAGAATCAAATGGTTTGTGATTTGGAGCTGAAACGAAGAAGTTAGGGCGATTTGAAGTTAAAGTGAAAATCCTGGAAAACGCTCCAGTTTTGAACATGCGACAATAATTTGACAATAACTTGAGCTGTAGATTTTTGATTGAGATGAATCTTGAACCGTTGGAAAGATGATTCAAAGGGCTACAATTCATATGTTTACCACTTGGCAAGATTCGAACGTTATCATGCTCAAAAACCATCATCTTGTTAAGATTTCGCGTTTTGGGGCAGAATCAACTATGCCTAGGCATAGTGCCGCGGCACAACTGCGAATCTGGGTTTTCTTAGATTAAATTTATGACGTCCATTTCCTGTTTTAAGAGTTCTAAAGTGATTAGGATAGTGGGAATCATAACCCTAAAACCCTAAGAGTGTAAATAGATGTCTTTAGCTGATTTTTTGGTGGAGAGAAAGAGGGAGAAGTTCAGCTGCTCTTTGGAGATTGGAAATTTCTGCAATTTTGAGTTATCAATTAGAGAAGTTTTTATACTCTTTCTTATACTCATGTTTATGAATACAATGGTTTTTATTATTGAAAGTATGAACTAATTTTATTTTCTAGGGCTAAGATGTCGCCCAATTTTATGAATATGCATTGAATTATTTGTTACTAATTTCTATTAAGTTTTGTTTTAAGTTTTATTATTGTGCTTAAAGCTTTCAATTCTTAAGGGCACTAGAGTTGAATGATTTTATGGGTTAGATTGAGATCGAGAGATGAAACCTAATTAGTCTAAGGTTATAAAACCATAGATTGAGCGAACACTAGAGATAGGTTACCGCGATCTGTGAGGCTCTAGTAAATTCCATAGAACTTAATGATCTCCAATTGCTTAAATCTGATTAGAGATAATTCGGGTTAGTAATTAGGAGTTAATTTGTTAATTGTTCGAGAGAAAGTTAGCGAAATATTAGGGAGTTTGGTCTTTAGAATAAGCTTAATTGGGTTAACGATAATTGTCAATGCATAGGATTAAATTGGTGTGAAATCTATGCCCTAGGTTTAGTCATATTGATTTCCTACTAAAGTGTTAATAAAAGTCTGTTTTTGTTTTGTTTCTAAGTTGTTTTATTTTTCATTGAATCATTCTGAAAATCTGATTGATTAAATACTAATAGGATAGTTTAATTGGTAATTGATAATAGTAATTCCCTTGGGGTCGATATCCGTAATTTTACACTTTATTACTTGCACGATTTCGTACACTTGCGAAAATCATCACCAAGTTTTTGGCGTAGCCCTAGTATTATTCTGAAGTAAGGACATAGATAATACGGTAAGACTATCATAGTGTTGAACGACCTTATCGAAAGGCAGTGACTGATCTAACTTGTCAAGGTTGTTTGGTGACAACCTGGTGCAACACATGGGTGCTTGCTATAGGCAAATTCACTGGACTGACCCACCAGAAGATTCCATATGTATGGTAACCCTAGTGTCTATGGAACAAATTCTTTAATGAATGGTGGTGCATGTGATCCTTAGACTTGAGATCATCGGAGCGCCTTATGCACCGATTGGTGTAGTTTGACACTAGCCCAACCATTCAAAGCTGTCAATACGGTAGTGATTGGATACATCAAGGAGTGTATCAAGACTATGGTGGATCGACAGAGAATTCATCACTGCTGATCAGTATGGGAGAAGTTATCTCATGGCGCAATTCAATAAATGGCAATGACACTAAAATTGTGTGGCCATAGTGGGATTGAGTTGTTGCTCAATCTAGTTTATTATTCTAGTCATTGGTCTAGTAACTGAATACATACATATCGAGAGTAACTAAGGTTGACACTATTTATGTGTTTCGGTCTCGATGAGATAACAGATGATGAAATGATTGAATTGTACGGTAACCATATTGTTGACAGGTAGCTACTTCGCTGAATCTGAATCTATCAGGTGGCCATGATGTCTTGCTAGGGGTCAATCTTGTTCTGTGTATAGTAAGACGATTAATTGGTGTTGATCGTGACACTACACACTGTCGGTATGATGAGGAGCCTACAGGTCACACACATAGAAGATAATTTAAGAATCAGTTTGTGTAAAGGGCGTTTTCGTCTTTTCAGGCAAAAGAGTATTTTGGTAATCTCACAGTGTAATTCAATTTGTTGAGGTTGTTGCCTTTATTTAATTTGATATTAAAATTAAATAAATGAGATTATATTTAAATATGTGTACGCATATATTTAAATGAATTATTGTTATTGTTAAATGTTAATATATTATATATATATATATATATTAATTTAATTTAATTTAATTGAAATAATAATAATTAAAAAAAATATCTAAATGGGGATGTTTGGACATAGGGGCTGTTTGGGTTGGTGCCTAAGCCTATTCCTAAGTGGAATAGGGTTTCACATGTAATATATAAGTGCATGTGTTCTATGAATTAGATAACACTTTTCATTTTAAGTCATTTTATATCATATTCATTGAAAAAGCTCCAGTCCACTCTTTACCCCATGCCACCTTAATTTGTATGAGTCAAATTCATTTGACTCTTGTTCTTGATTCTTAAGGCTAAAGAAGATCTAGCAAATCCTTCTTTAGCTCTTCGGGTTATCTTTATGTGGAGTACCGCTGGTTCGATTCTACTTTGAATTGGTAGCGAAACCAGTCAGAGACAAGTTTGAAGGAGCCTTCAAATGTGCGTATGAACTCTAATATTTACTCTGATCGTTCATATTACTGCAGAATATTTGATTTAACATATTATCTGTAATATTTGTATCCTGACCTTGGTTTAAAATGGAATTGACCACTATTTTATTTTTGTTTTCCGCTGCCATGGGTTAGATCATTTCCTAACAGTGGTATCAGAGCCTAGGGTACCAGATTTACAGTAATAATAGTTGTTAGTATCCTACGATACGCGATACAAATCCTACGATACGATTCGATACGGGTCACCAACGACATGTATTAGAGGCTGTATCGCAAACCTTTCGATACATTGATATGTATCCTACAATACGATACGTATCCTTAAAAATATTGATACAAAATTTGGGCCTAGGGCCCAAAAAAAATTTTCGGGTCGGATCCATGTCACCCGACCCGGTTCACTAAAACCCACCCAAAATTACCCATCCCTAATTTTACCCTTGCTAGACTCACTCTGGTGAAAGAGCAGTTGCACCTCAGCCTCTCGGTCCCCACTCCTCAGCAGTGAGCAATTAAACCAATTAAGCTAAAAGTCACCCAAGTTCTACACGAATGATTCAGGTAAACTACTCTTTTTCTCTTTTCATTACATATTTGATTTGTAATATAATATTACAAAAACCTTGATTTGTTCGTCTTGCTCATTAAGAATATAAAAAAGTGATTTATCTTTGTTGATTGTTGAATACAACTGGAGGCAATTAAATAATATAATATTAGAATACCAAGAAATTCCTAGTTGCATTGTTTTATGGATAACAAATTTATAGACCTCTTGTATATAAGTTTTGATTTGTTTTCCTTACATTATGCTTCTTCATTTGGTTTTTTGTGGCCTCTTTTAGTCTATTAGATTAAGACTGAGATTTGAATCATGAGAAATAAGAAGGGAAAATTAGATGATATTACATGGGAGCATTGTAAAAAATTGAATGAGGAAAATAGATTGCATCTTACATGTAACTATTGTGGTATACCATATTGGGGTGGCGTAATACGAATGAAAAATCATCTTGCTGGAACCCATATCCAAGTTAAGCCATGTAGTCAAGTTCTCGAAGATGTTAAGATGAAATTTCAAGAGTTGTTGGTAGCAAAGAAAGTTAATAAGGATGATGATGATGATATGGTTGACATTTTTAAACAGCAAGATGTTAATCCAAATACGGGTAAAATTGATAGTTTTCTTAGTAAGGGAAAAAAAGGAAGTGGTTTTAACCAAGCGAAGAACTTTAAATGAAGTTGTGAAGGATAGGGAAAAGGTAATTCAAGGTATATGTAGGTGTCTTTATGGCAATGCATTACCATTTAATTTAGTTAAAAGTTCTTTTTTTGTTGACATGTTAAAGTTAGTGGGAGATTATGGAAGGGGATTGAAACCTCCTACTTATCATGAAGCAAGAGTTTCTTATTTGAAGAGAGAGGTTGATCTTGTGGGAGAAAAACTTGGAAAGTATAAAAATGAGTGGAAAAAGAATGGTTGCACATTAATGTCAGATGGGTGGACGGATGGAAATGGTAGATCACTGACTAACTTTCTTGTCAATAGTCCAAGTGGGACAGTTTTTTTGAAATCTATTGATACCTCCGAATTTATAAAAAATGCTCAAAAAATGTTTGAGTTACTTGATAGTGTTGTGGAGGAGATAGGAGAAGAGCATGTTGTACAAGTGGTAACTGACGGAGCATCCAATTATGTAGCTGCCGGTAGAATGTTAGAAGAGAAAAGGAGAAAGCTATTTTGGTCTCCTTGTGCGGCTCATTGTCTTGACTTGATTCTTGAGGATATTGGAAAGATTGCGGTATTCTATGACACCATTGCAAAAGCCAAGCAAGTCACAAGTTTCATTTATAGGCATACATGGGTGCTTAATTTATATAGAAAATTTTCAAAGGATAAAGAGCTAGCAAGACCGGCAGTAACAAGATTTGCAACATCTTTTCTCACATTGAGTTGCATTATGGATAGTAAACTAGCTCTTAGGTCCATGTTTGCATCAGAAGAATGGGCAAATAGTACACATGCTACTACAATTAAGGGGAAAAAAGTGGTGGATATTATCTTGAGTGATACAAGATTTTGGAAATCCATCCAATTTGCCTTGAAATGTGTGGATCCACTAGTGGAGGTTTTGAGGCTTGTAGATGGTGATGCGAAACCAGCAATAGGATACATCTATGAAGCCATGAGAAGAGCAAAGAATCAAATTGCAAAGAATTTCAACAATGTGGAGCATCGATATAGAGAATTATGGAAGATAATTGACACTCGTTGGGATTTTCAACTTCATAGGCCACTTCATGCAGCGGCATACTACCTTAATCCTAAGCAAGTGTTGATCATTTTTTTTAATCCATATAAAAATTGCTTGAAAATTTGAATTTAGAAATCTAATTTATGTTGATTTTATATATTAGGTACCATTATGATCCAAACTTCAATCCAGACAAAGAAGTTAAAATTGGATTGTACAAGGTAATTGAGAAGATGTATCCAGATGTGGAAACAAGAGTTGAAGTTGATGCTCAATTTGACAAGTTTAAAAGAGGAGTAAGATTATTTGAAATGGATATGGCCATAATAACAAGAGACAAAAACAACCGGGTATGTTTGCTTGTACGTTTTTTACATTTTTTTTTTTTTTGTTATAACTTAGTAATGTGTTTGTTACTTTTTTTTTTTTTTTTTTTAAATAGCTTTATGGTGGGACAGCTATTGAGAAGAGTGCAAAGAGTTGCAAACACTTGCCATAAAAGTCTTAAGCCTTACATGTAGTGTCACGGGTTGTGAAAGAAATTGGAGCACCTTTGAACATATGCATTCTAAAACAAGGAATCGTTTGGAGCAACAAAGATTGAATGCTCTTGTCTTTGTTAAATATAACCTTCAATTAGAAATGAGGCAAAAGCTTAGGGAGGAGAAAGGAGAGGCATATGATCCAATATGTTTATTGGACATAGAATCCGATGATGCGTGGATTATGGAAAAAGAAGATCCTTGCTTGCCGGATGATAATTCATGGATGGATGTTCAAGAATGCTTCAACATAGATGAAGGTGTAACAGACCGCCTAGCTCTAACACCCTGACTGGCCCGGCCACGGAGTTCACGCAGCTCCCTACGTGGCAGGTACTTACAACATTGGTCTGCAGTTAAAACAATCTTTAAGTACTTGAGAAGGACTAAAGATTTAATACTGAGTTATGGACATTCATAATTGAAAATCCAAGGATACTTAGATTCTGATTTTCAGTCAGATGTGGATGATAGAAAGTCTACATCCGGATTCATCTTTACATGTAATCGAGAAGTAGTTAGTTGGAAAAGTTCCAAACAGTCGACCACTGCTGACTCCACTACAGAAGCTGAATTATTGTCACTTCAGAAGTAGCAAAAGAAGGTGTGTGGATACGCAAATTTGTAGCTGAACTTGACATGGTTTCAAACATGAGTTATCCGATAACCTTGTTTTGCAACAATAATGGTGCTATTGCACATGCAAAAGAACCAAGAGCACACTAGAATCAAAACATATTCAGCATAAATATCATATTTTCAGAAAGCTTGTTGAAGCTGGAGAAATTTTGTTGCAGAAAACACCTTCAGCGGATAACGTAGCTGACCCACTTACTAAAGCAATGACACAGAAGCAATTAGATCATCATCTTGAGAAGATGGGTATTAGATACCACAACGATTGGCTCTAGTGCAAGTGGTAGTTTTGTTAGTGTATGCCCTAGGAACCAATCATGTTGTCGGTTCCAAGGCATTATGTTTTATATATATATGTTAATGTATATATTTTGTATATACATTTTATGTTATTGATAGAAAAAAGTGTTCTTATTTCACATGTGGTTTAATGCTTCATTTATTTATATGTATTACATGTGAAATGTCCGGATTATATAAATTTTTAGAAGATCAAAATCATCAAACTATTCCCTACATATGTAATATTAATTGGACAATAATATTACATAGTAGGCATGCTGAATGTCTCCGTAGAATATTATGTCATGGTATTAGTGTGGGTGATTATAAAAGTTATATCACTATGGCATTAGCATGGATAAGCGGTTAGTGAACTGTTTATCGAATATGACTATTTATGATTAATCACATGGACATTTAAAATGTAGTCAATGATTTATCATAAGATCGTACTAGTATATTATTAATCCTTAGACCTGAGATATCACGGTTGGATTCTGCATAAATACATATGGTTCGTATGGTGTATAAACACGAGGCTAATCATGTCATGTGTTAATAAGCCGATTTGGCCATGTGTTGTTTATGTGTGAGGACAAGTGATAGTCAAGATGGAATCCGTTGACTTGGTATAGATTGATATCAAGTTCCTAGACAAATTTCAAGATACATTAGAGAAGGGAAATCTCCGGCCGGGGTATATAAAATGTTACTTGAAAGGTTATTTCATGGTGACACGTTCCATATGTATTGATTGTCAATTTGATATAAAATTAAGATAAGGATTTTGACATACCATGAATCCATTCTTAATTGGGATTAGACAACGGAAGGATTTGATTATACAACACGTATGATTATAAAAGGGTTCGTTGGAGTATATTTTCATTGTGACTTAGGGGTTATAGAGCATTGCTAGATGCCTACCATAATCAGTGCGAGTTTTATTCATAAAGATTTATGACAAAATATATCAAAATAGACTATGATATTGGGCCCACGGCTAGGCCACAGTGAACCTAAGAGGTTACACATAAAAACTAAGGAGAATGGAGAAATAGCCAAAGAGGGTTGATTATCCAAGGTTGGCTAGCACCTACCAAGGGTAATAAAGTTATTTACATCATTATCATTGAATTAGATTCAATGGAGGGTTATATTAGTTATTATGAATAATTTACGAGTAAAATTGCTAATTGGAATTAAATGGAATTCCAATTCATAATTAATCATTTTCTTTATATTAAATTGGATTTAATAATGGGTTGTAATTGTAAACATATGAATAATTTAAGGGTTAAATTGTTATGTAAACAATTTAAGAGTTAAATTGTTAGTTGTGATTAAATGTTAATCCAATATTATTATTTAAAGAAGTTTAACAACTTCATAATAATTATGGAGTTATTTACAACTCCAAAACAATTATGGAATTGTTTAAGGAAGTCCAAAATAATTATTGAATTGTTTACAAGGCTATATATATAAAGAAAATGATATATCAATTTTAGGGCAGAGATCAAAATTTCTAAGAGCCATAAATGTCTCTCTTGGCCTAATTCTTCTTTCACCTTAGTGTGGATACTCTTTTGTCTAATTTCTCTTGAAATTAAAAGTCTCCAAGATTGCTAAGGACTTGAGGTAATAAGTTATACCTTGTTTTCAATTTGATTGAATTTTTTTTTGCAAAATATGAATATACATGTTATAGTATCACATGCATTATTCTCCATGTATTCCATCTTTCAAAGGAAAATAGTGGGAGCGTCGTTTAATAAAAGACCATATTAAATAATAATGAACTTTAAAATGACTTTTTCTTTTCTGCAATTGTAGATTCACCAAAATGAGCATTATGAACCTGCGACCGATGATTGAAAAAGAAAACAGGTTGGATGGATCCAATTTCTCAGACTGGTATCGTAATCTTCGAATTATACTCAAGTCTCAAAAGAAATTGTATATCTTTGATAAGCCATACAGGGCTGAGCCTAATCCTGATGCCATTCAGGAAGTAAATGATGCTCATCAAAAGTTCTTTGATGACGCTGATGGCGTTCAATGCTTGATGTTAGCATCAATGACACTAGTGTTACAAAAGCAGCATGAGAATATGGACGCTACTGCCATTATTCTACACATCAAGGAGCTTTACGAAGGGAATGCTCGACATAAGAGGTACAAGATGTCAAAAGCACTGTTTGGAAGTCACCTGACTGAGGAAGCCCAAGTTGGCCCTCACGTGCTCAAAATGATCGAGCACATGGAGAGGCTTGAGACTTTGGGGTTTGAGTTGGATGCAGAATTACAAGTGGATTTAATTCTGCAATCCTTGCCTGACTCTTATGCATCGTTCATAATGAACTTTAATATGAACACAATGGTAAAAACCCTGTCGGAGCTTTTGAACATGTTAAGGACTGTAGAGTAGGACTTGAATGTTCTACAGTCCTCGTATTGTTGGAGCTTTTCCTACGACCTTATTGTTGGAACTACATAACTGTTATTACGTACCTTCTATTTTTAGAAATATTATTTCAGTATCCGATTTGGATAATATAGGGTATCATTTTGAGATATCTAATAGATTGTTGTCCTTTAGTTTGAATGGTATTCTATTTGGAATTGCAAGGTTATATAACGGGCTATATGTTCTTGATTTAAACAATAAAGATATTCTCAATGTTGAAACTAAGAAAGCTAAACATAGCAATCAAAACCAGATATACCTCTGGCACTGTAGATTGGGTCATATTAATAAGACCCGTATTGCAAAACTTCAAAGGGATAAAGTTTTGGACCCTTTTGACTTTTAGTCATTTGAGGTATGCGAGTCATGCATGTTAGGCAAGATGACCAAGTCGCCTTTCACAAGACAAAGTGAAAGGGCTAGTGAATTGTTAGGCATCATCCATAGTGATGTATGTGGTCAACTAACAGTTGAGGCCAGATGTGGATATTCATACTTCATCACATTTACTGATGATTTCAATAGATATGGTTATATCTATTTTATGAGACATAAATCTGAAGCCTTTGATAAATTCAAAGAATTCAGGAATGAAGTACATAATATGTTGGGAAAAAGTATTAAAGCTCTTCGGTCGGATCAAGGAGGTGAATACTTAAGCTCAGGGCTTTCTGAATACCTAAAGGAATGGGGGATAGTATCACAACTCACCCATCCATAACACCCCAACACAATGGAGTATCTGAAAGAAGGAATAGAACCTTGCTTGATATGGTTAGGTCCATGATAAGTTTAAGTGATCTACCTGCATCCTTCTAGGGTTATGCCCTAAAGACTGCGAGTCACGTTTTGAATCGTATGTCGTCAAAGTTTGTAGATAAGACTCCATATGAGCTATGGAGTGGGTGAAAGCCCAACTTGTCTTATCTAAGGACTTGGGGTTACGAAGCTTATGTCAAGAAATTTACTTCGAACAAGCTGGGCCCAAAATCCTGTAAATGTATATTTGTAGGGTATCCAAAGGAGACCAAAAGATGCTATTTCTACCACCCAGAAGAGCGCAACATTTTTGTTGTTTGTACTGGTGTCTTCCTAGAAAATGAATTTTTTCTAAGTACCAGTGGGAGAAAAGTAGAACTCGATGAAGTTCTAAAACCACAAAATATACTAGACGAAGGACGGGATAATGTGCCACAGGAAGTGGTTGAACATCAGGAGGAGGTTTCTGATCAAAGCGAACCACCTTAGGTAGTACAGGAGTTATGTAGATCTGGAAGAGTACGCCATGAGCTTGAGAGATACGGTTATCTTGTGACTCAACATGGTGATGTACTAGTCTACCAAGACGATGAACCTAGAACTTACGAAGACACTATATTGGATCTAGATTCCGTTAAATGGCTTGAAGCCATGAAATCTGAGATGGACTCCATGTACCAGAACCAAGAATGATCTTTGGTGGAACCACCTGAAGGGATAAAACCCATAGGGTGTAAATGGGTCTTCAAGAAGAAGACTGACATTGATGGCAAGGTGCATACTTATAAGGCACAGCTGGTTGCCAAAGTTTTCAAACAAATTTATGGTATTGACTATGAAGCATAGTTAGTAAATACGGGTACGGTAAAAAAACGGTACGGGAATTTTACGGGAATGATACGGCAAACGATGAAAAATATGTTTATAAAAATTCGGCCTTAAAATTCGGATACGGGAAAAATATGATACGGGTATATACGGGTTTAATACGGTATATTGTCAATAATACGTTTTGAAAAATACGGTAATATTAATCCTGATTTTAGTATTTTTTATGATCATTGAATTGATTATTCTCTATTTTTCTTTATAGGTGTATGATTTATATTTTTTTAATTATAATATTTTAGTTTATTATTACAAATATTATAGAAGTGATCAATTATTAAATAAAACAAATAATTTTATTTGTTTTTTAAGTTGAAGAAGAAGAAGATAAGACAAACAGTGGTGTTTGTTGAAGAATAGTTGAAGAGGAAGAGAGGTAGAGACGCCAAAAAAGAGAAGAAAAGAGAAAGAGGGCACAAAAAAAGAGAAGAAGAAAGAAGAGGGCGCCAAAAGAAAGAAAGGGGGCCAAAAGAAAGAAAGAGAAAGGAAGCGGGCGCAGAAAAGGGAAGAAAAGGCGCCAAAAAGAGACTGACATCGCGCTTAAAAGACTGAGCATAAAACGACGTCGTTTTGATCAAATTTCACCTAAAACGATGTCGTTTTGGCCTAGTAAATAATAAAATTTTATTTTTAAAAATACGGTCGAATTATACGGAAATTATACGTGAATTATACGCGAATTATACGGCAAGGCATATAATTCGCGTATAATTCGGCTGTGTTTATAGAATACGGGAATTTGCGTTTTATATGCGAATTATACGGTTGGGCGTATAATTCGCGTATAAAACGCGAATTTACTAACAGGGCTATGAAGAAACCTTTTCGCCGGTTGCTATGATTAAATCCATGTGGATTATGCTTGTGATTGTTGCATATCATGACTATGTGATTTGGCAAATAGATGTCAAAACAGTTTTCCTAAATGGAAACCTTGAAGAGGATGTGTATATGACATAACCCGATGGTTTCGTTCTTGATGGGCAAGCTGATAGGGTATGCAAGTTGCAAAGATCCATTTATGGACTCAAACAAGCTTCAAGGAGCTGGAACATTCGTTTCGATGAAACCGTAAAAGAATTCGGTTTTATCAAGAACGAAGATGAGCCCTGTGTTTACAAGAAAGTGAGTGGGAGCGCAATGACATTCCTAGTGTTGTATGTCGATGACATACTTCTTATTGGAAATGATATACCAAACTTGCAGTCGGTAAAGACTTGGTTATCCAAGTGCTTCTCCATAAAGGACTTAGGGAAAGCAGCCTACATCCTTGGAATAAAGATCTATCATGATAAATCGCGTAAGTTGCTTGGCCTAAGTCAGAGTGCATATATTGACAAAGTACTGAAAAGATTCAGTATGGAAGAATCCAAGAAGGGATTTTTTCCGATGTCACATGATGTTTATCTCTCCAAGGATATTTGTCCTAGAACACAAGATGAGAGAGTAGGATGAAGATGATCCCATATGCATCAGCAATTGGATCCATCATGTATGTCATGTTATGCACTTGGATTGATGTCTCATGTGCTTTGAGCACTTGTAGTAGATATCAATCGGATCCGGGTAAGCGTCACTAGATGGCTGTCAAGAAAATTCTTTAGTACCTAAAGAGGACTAAGGATAAGTTTTTGGTTTATAGAGGGGAAAATGAGCTCACTGTAAAAGAATATAGTGATGCTAGTTTTCAAACAGACAAAGATGATTATCGATCACAATCAGGGTTTGTATTTTGTCTCAATGGGGTGTAGTGAGCTGGAAGAGCTTCAAGCAAAGCGCTGTAGCGGACTCTACAATGGAGGCCGAGTATATTGCATTATCAGATGCAGCCAAGGAGGCAGTCTGGATTAAGAAGTTCGTCACCGAACTTGGTGTGGTTTCCATGATTGTTGATCCAATAGACATCTATTATGACAACAATGGAGCAATCGCTCAAGCTAGGGAACCACGGTCTCATCAGAAGTCCAGACACATACTCAGACGATTCCATCTCATTAGAGAAATAGTTGAGAGGAAAGATATGCAGATCAGTAAAGTGCATACTGACAACAATCTCGCAGATCCACTAACAAAGCCTCTGTCGCAGCAGAAGCATGAACAGCATTTGAGATCATTTGGTATTAAATACATGAATGATTGACTATAGTGCAAGTGGGAGATTGTTAGAGTATGTGCCCTAGAGCCAATCAATTATTGTAGAAGTGACTCTTTGTAATAATGTTCATTGATCAATAAAAAGACATTTTATTCTATATCGCGTAAATCATATCGTATGTATTGATATATGTCTTTAGAATGGTAGAACCGTGATAAGGGTATCAAGTGTTTCAAATCTTGATGGTGAGAACCCTATGAGCACATATGGTGGTCATTCTAGAAACTTTCGTAGCCCCAGTATTATTCTGAAGTAAGGGGACAGATAATACGGTAAGGTTATCATAATGTTAAACGACTCTGTCAAAAGGCAGTGACTAATCTCACTTGTCAAGGTTTTTTGTGACAACCTGATGCAACATATAGGTGCTTGCTGTAGGCAAGTTCACTAGATTAACCCACTAGAGGATTCTATATGGATGGTAACCCCAGTGTCTATGGAACAAATCCTCTAACGAATGGTGGTGCATGTGATCCTTAGACTTGAGATCATTAGAGCGCCTTGTACACCGATTGGTGTAGTTTGACACTAGTCCAATGCAGTTCTATTCAGAGCTGTCAATACGGTAGTGATTGGCTGCATCAAAGAGTGTATCAAGACTATGGTGGATCGACAGAGGATTCATCACTACCAGGTACGGGAGAAGTTATCTCAAAGCGCAATTCAATAAATGGCAATGACACTAAAACTGTGACCACGGTGGGATTGAGTTGTTGCTCAATCCAGTTTATTATTCCGGTCATTGGTCCAGTAACTGAATATTTACATATCGAGAGTAACTGAGGTTGACACTATTTATGTGCCTCGGTCTCGATGAGATAACAGATGATGAAAGGATTGAATTGAACAGTAACCATATCATTGATAGGTAGCAATTTCGCTGAATCTAAATCTATCAGGTGGCCATGATGTCTTCCTAGGGGCCAATCTTGGTCTGTGTGTAGTGAGAAGATTAATTGGTGTTGATTGCGACACTACACACTGCCGGTATGATGAGGAGCCTATGGGTCACACACATAGAAGATAATTTAATAATCAGTTTGTGTAAAGGGTGTTTTCATCTTTTTAGACAGAATAGTATTTTGGTAATCTCACAGTGCAATTAAATTTGCTGAGGTTGTTATCTTTATTTAATTTGATACTAAAATTAAATAAATGAGATTATATTTAAATATGTGTACGCATATATTTAAATGAATTATTATTATTGTTAAATGTTCACAGATTATATATATATTAATTTAATTTAATTTAATTGAAATAATAATAATTAAAATAAAAATATCTAAATGGGGCCATTTGAACATAGGGGTTGTTTAGGTTGGTGCCTAAGCCTATTCCTAAGTGGAATAGGGTTTCACATGCACTATATAAGTGCAGGTATTCTATGAATTAAATAACACTTTCATTTTAAGTCATTTTATATCATATTCATTGAAAAAGCTCCAGCCCACTCTCTACCCCACGCCACTTTACTTTGTATGAATCCACGCCACTTTACTTTGTGTGAATCAGATTCATTTGATTCTTGTTCTTAATTCTTAAGGCTAAAAAAGATCTAGCAAATCCCTCTTTAGCTCTTCGGGTTATCTTCGTGTGAAATACCGCTGGTTTGATTCTACTTTGAATCGGTAGCGAACTCAGTTAGAGACAAACTTGAAGGAGCCTCCAAACGTGCGTATGAAGTCTAATCTTTACTCTGATCGTTCATATTACTACATAATATTTAATTTAACATATTATCTTTAATATTTGTATCCTGATCTTGGCTTAAAATGGAATCGATCGCTGTTTTATTTTTGTTTTCCGCAACCATGGGTTAGATCGTTTCCTAACATATGAATGAGGGCAAATGGTTGTGTTGTAGTGGAAGTGCTATGGGGAGAGGTTATGCAAGATTGTTTTGCTAGAGGACATATTGGACATTGTGGGTGTGGTATGAAAGCACTATGACCTAGTCTTTAATGAAGAATAAATGAATTTTTATTGATATTTGAATTACATTGGACAGATTTATTGTTTGTCCTACAATGGAGAAATTTACTAGAAGAACTATCAGGAATCCAGTAATATAGGCCACTAGTTACTCTACCCAAGTTCATCAGTGTCTAACACAACCCGTCCCGACCCTCCTTATCCCATAGGCTCCAGGCGCACCCATGAGACTCGGGTGATCGAGATGTGCCATGTGAGAAAGCTATAAAACCTGTTTATAAATAAAACATCATAAAAATGTAACGTCATTTGCATGTAAACAAATGTAATTGAAATTTTCACAAAATGAAATTTATGGTACCAGATTTTCCATATCTTTAATAATACAAATAAGAAATAAATACATGATGAAGGAAACATAAACTTTGCAGCGGAAAACAAAATACAACTATAAAATCTATGGTGAAATGAAGTCGTGTGGCCCAACCTTGAGTGAAATTCACTCCTCTGCACGATCAACTTCTAGACCTGGTGAGGGGAAAGAAAAACATTTGAAAACGAGGGGTAAGCTAGAAATGCTCAGTGAGTGGGAAATGGGTTAGTATGAAATAAAAGATTTCAATATACAATAAAAACACTCATGCTTATAAAATTTTATTTCCGTATACACATTTTATAATATAAGTCATCTTTCATAACACATGTTAAAATCTCTCATGGCAAGACTTCTTTCTGAACACTATTATGGTAAACGAATAAATACTCATGTTTCTCTAAAACATCATTTCTAAGAAACAGTTCTTATATGGATAACATTTACATTTATAAGTTCCCATTTTCAGATAAATGATATACATATACAAACCATCTCTCAATCACATGTGAAAACTCTCACCCAACTAGTACCCTGGGGAAAATCTGTCATACCTAGTGGGCGTCCCACACGCAGGCAGAGCAAGGGACGTACCTGTCATACCCGGCAAGATCTATCATCGCGCGGGCAGAGCCATTGAAACTGTCATACCTGGCGGACCACTCAATGCCCAGGCAGAGCCAATAAAATCTATCATACGCATGCACAGAGCCAAAATCTGAAACTGTCATACCCGGCGGAATCCTGCATCGCTCGGGCAAAGCCAAAAAACTGTATCTCTAGGGGATGGGTACTTCGTAGGGTGGTTTTAGCACCACAACAATCTCATACATAATCTTAGGTAACATGTAAGTCAAGAGTATATTACATATGTACTTATAAATCATAAACAAATATCACTTTCAAAAGTCAAAACTCATATAACACATTATAATTATAATTAAACCCAAAAGCAAAAGCAAAATAATAATAATAATAATAATAATAATATATGAATATTTCCCATAAGGATAAGACATGCCAACATGTGAGATTTCATGGAAAATAGGGGGTAAAATGCAAGTTTTTAGAATATACTTTCAAAACTGACGAAAAGCACCCCATTTTCCCTTTTTACCGAGAAAATTATTACTAACCTCACAATCTCAGTCTTTTCTTTAACATTTTAACAACCGAAATACCTTAACTCCCAGCATTTTAAAACACCATGGAAATCAATTTTCTCAAAGACAGTCCAACTGGAAGCATACAAGTGTATTTAACCAACCAACTTTTAGTCCAAATACATAACTCAAGCACCTCTCAAAATGCAGTCCAGCCGAGTGCATGCAACCCAAAATATCCAGCCACCATCACAGTTTATTGAAACAGCCAAATGCATGCAAGTTTAATTAGCAAGCAAAGTTCATTCCCTTTAAAACTCAAAACAACCACTCTAGAATCTGTCCGAAAACATGCAAAGAAAAAAATAAACCAAGCAAGCTTCACATTTTGCTCGAACCTCATCAAAATACAAAAATGGCATACTAGAAAATAACATACAAGCATAGATCTGAAATTTTTAAGGAAAGTTTTTATTAAAACCACTCACCGTTTGAAGCTCGACCCTTAAGCCGAAAAATGATTGAAATCTTCTAATAATGCCCCCGCTTGCCTCCCTATGTACAAAATTTAATTAATCCTCCATACATAAGTCCCCATAAAGTAACACCTCAATATTAAAATCATTGGACACTTCACACACCAAAAGATTAACATAACTTCTGCTTTAACAAAACTGTCTCATAATCGAACATCGGTTGCTCTCAGATTTTTCTTAAAAATTCTATTTATCATTTTAAGCCATAATTTTAACAGGGAGTTCTAGAGACACATAAGTTGTTCCCATAATTTTCTCAAGTCATTCCAGAATCAATAACTATTTAAAACACAATTTCCTTTCAACTCATTCAAATCTGTCCCCTGTTTCCAGATTGGGGTTACTGACTTGAAAAATTCATAACAATTCAGCCCTTAATCCAAACCTCCTGAAACTCTCCAGAATTAAACTAGACACATATAGGATTAACCGGAATTTAAAATCACTCAATTTGGATAAGAATAGATGCATCAAATCAGTTTCCAAAATACATGTTCTGCAGAAAACGAAAATTCCAGAACATCACAAGGCAACTTCAAAAATCCATATAAAATTCAATCCTTCGAGTTTTTGTGTGAAATAAATTTCTAAACACTCCTAAAGAAGTCTACAACAACATATCCAAAATTCAGCTTCAAAAAAAAACCCAAAACATACAGATAATTTTCGGAGTTCCAGATGGTCAGATTTCTGTACAGTAAACCCTTACATCAAAAATCATATCTTTAACCCATTTTTGTTTAGAAACAACCTCTATGTTCTACCCACACCAAATTATTAAAATCAATCTCCCTATTTTAGTTTTGTTTTCATGAATTTATACCAAATCATAGACAAAACAATCCAAAGAGAGTTCTGAATCATAAATCACCAAAAAGAGGAAATATCAAGTTTTGCTAACCTCCCATTTGCTTGATCTTCCTCCACTCTCCGATCACCGGAGTTTTACTCGCCGGTGGCCCCTTTTGCAGCCACCTCCGTCGGTCTCCTATCTCCTCTCTCCCTCTATTCTTGGTTTCATCTTTCTCTCCCTTTTTTTTTCTTTTCTTTCTTTCCTTCTTCCTCTCCTTCTCTTCTTCTTCTTTCTCTCATCTCTCTTTTCTTTCTCTCCTTCTTCCCCGTTTTACTTTTAATTGAATGATCACTGTTCATCAAAATATCTAAAAATTTTCAATTTAGTCCTCACTTATTTCAACTATATATTGTACTCCCCAAAACTTTCAAATTATTACACTTTACCCCTAGAGTCACAAAATAAAATTTAATAAAACTCCATAAAAAAAATACGGGGTATTACAGTGTCCCAGTCAAAGGGTTTTGAAATTCACATGTATTCGAGTGAAATTTTATAATACAGTGATTATCAGTACAAATTTTGGATACGAATATAAGGTTGAATTGGAAATCCGGAACAAATAGGACATTCTTAAGGGTGAGGTGTTTACTAAGTTGAATTGTTCCTATATGTGTGGCAGGTGCTATAATCCCATTCAGCATGTGAATGGAAATGGATGATGTGTTGGATTTGTGGGTAAAAAAAATTTGGTTACAAATGATATGATCACTAGCCCTGAATCAATAATCCAAATATCATCTTTAATTGAATTTAAACAATAAGATGTACCTACAAGAAGCCGAGGACATCTGAGGACGTTGATTCATCATTTGAAGCAATTGAGTGTATTGTTTCGTGCTGATCATAGGTGCAGAGATTGAATTTCCAGATTTGTCAATAGGACGCCCATGTAATTTCCAGCATCTATCCTAGGTTGACTTCGTTTGTTGCAATAGTCACAATAAAATTTATTTTTCCCTGTTTTGTGTGCTTCAGGCTCATTTGACTAGTTTGACCCGGTTGGGCCATTTGACCAAGCGAATCCATTCGGCCCATTTGAATTATGAAGACTATTAGACCCAATGGACTTCAACAGTGATGTGGTAGCATTTGGGTTGTTGGATTGAGAGATCAAATGGTGGTCGTTGGATGGAGGAAATAGATTTGGGCCTTTGGGTTGTTTATATAAAAAAGGATGTTGAGAAGGGTTTTGAAACCTTTGTCGCAGCTTATTCAGATTTTTCTCTGAATCTTGAACATCCAAAACACTTTGGCGAGCTTTGGCGAAGGCAGTGGCATCGACGGATCTGAAGCCAGTCACAACAACCTGTCGTTGACTCTCTTCTTGCATGGCAAGCTGAAAACTCGACAAAGATCTGGTGGCGATGTTGCGGCTAAGATTTGTGTCCGAAACGGCAGGAAGGCCTCATTGAGACCCAAGAGAAAACGGCTGAGTCGTGCTTGATTGCGAATCCTCTGGTATTGTGCGAGGGTTGTCGGCGATCCCTCAAGCTTTTCTTTTGCAGCGTCTAACTCATGCCATATATCAGACAATTTGTTAAAATAAAAAGTCACGGTTGCATTACCTTGACTGATCTCAGCGAGTTGTTGCTAGAGAGTGTATATTTTTGCTAAATCCAGCGTTCCATACATATCTCTAATATTTTGCCACATCTCTGCAGCAATTTCAGTTGGCGGTAATCCAGCCACCACTTCGAGAGATAAACAGTTGTTGAGCCTAGATCTCACGAGCATATTGCACCTCTTCCAGTAACGGTGAAAGGGTGAATCCAAAGGTGGTGGTGGGATAGTGTGGTCAACAAAGCCTTCTTTGTCTTTAGTGACGAGGGCTCGTCGGAAATCTCTTGCCCATGTTGAGTAGTTATCAGATCCGATTAACTATTGCTTGATAAGGGTAATTAACGATCCATCGGAGACCGGTGAGAAGAGGACATCGCCTGATTCAGGGCGGTGACCGATGGGTCGAACCATTTGGAAGGTGAAAGGATATGGGTTTTGACCCGTGGGTTGAGTTGAATCCGGGTTGTAACCCGATATACCAAAGGGGAATGGGTTTGGGCCTATAGTGAGAGGTGGGCTTCTTGTAAGAATTGGGCTTATTGTTATTGTTGGGCCAACTGTGGGATTTGGGCCATTTGTGGGGTTTGTTTCATTGTGGGTTGATTTAGTAGTGTGTGTGTTGGTTGCCATTGGGCTGTTGGATCTGATAATTTTCTAGAAATTGGTTTCGGTGATTGACGAGTTGAATTATGAGAGAAACTAATAGAGTTTCTGTTTGCTTTTGCAGGGACAGAAAAAAAAATAAAGTTGCGGAAGCTAAATGAAACATAATGGCTCTAATACCATGTCAGAATATGATAAAGAAAGATAGGCAAGAGAGGCAGAGGAACAAAGATGACAGAGTGCCTAGAAGATAAAGGAAGAAGATGAAAGAATATTTATTTTCTGTGTATTTCAGTATTGTAATGTGTCTAATTTATACAAGTTTATAAGTGTAAAATATGGAAATACAATCAAATATAATCAATGTAATTACATGAAATCAGTAATTGTAATTCCTTCAATCAAGCCATAATAGTTCAAGCCATAATAGTTTCAGGCTTCAATTAAGCCTGGATCACAGCACTATGTAATAATCATATTCCATCACTATGTACGTTCATTGGAGCTAGTCTTCAAATGTACATATACCCAGTCTATGTACAGCTACATCCATGGAATCAGCTCTGCTCTGTTCATTTTTTTGTCGTAATTTGTGGAATGCTTATTTTCAATTCCAAGTTGGCTTTTGGTTTTGGGAAACTGGGAGCTAAAAGAAGAAATTTATAATGAATATTTCCTCTTTTGTTTTGGTCTATATACCCGTACCGTATAATTTAATAGTTATCATATTATCGATAAATTATTATTTATATTACAATCTCACATTTTATAACATTTTAATTCAATACTATTAACAATCTAATATCTCAATTTAATTCTTTTAGTAGAGAGGATCATAAGAATCAGTGGGAGTCAAATATATGGGCCTTCTTTTCTTTCCAATTGCAGATGTCATCAGCAGTCACCAGACTAAAGAAGATGACGGAAAAAAAAAAAAAAAACAAGCGGATTGCCGGATTCCACGCGTTTAGGACGTGTCGTAAATTGGCAGTGTAGCAGTAAGAAAGAAGATGAAATTTGTATGCTTGTCCAAGCATCATCATTCCAAAGGGCGTATGCACGTAGATGTTTCTTAGCATCGCTCTGGCGGTGGCCTAATCTTTCCCAGTTGCTAGTGTTCACTGGCTCTCACTCTCAGTCAAACCACACCCACACCGAAAGGACATTAACCAAAACTCTTCTAAATGTATGTAGATCTAACCGATGAAGCAATTAATTCATGCGTCACCACCTTCATAAAATTAACTACAACATGAACACCTCATAACACATAACCAAAGTCATTCACAGGATGACAATGAATATTTTTCTTTTTTAATGATTAGGTGTTCAGACTAGTTTGTACGTACCTTAATTAATATTTGGAGTTCATTGAACACCTTACAAATTCAATGTCCCAAATTAAGCTATAAATGTATTAACTGACAATAAGAGAAAGTTAATAAAAAAAGCAAACCTTCTTGATCCCAATTCCCAAACCAACCCCTTGGGGTTGACGGGGCATATTTCTTTACCTATATAAATATGATCTTTGGCTTCCCAGACTCTCAGCACTATGGCATATCAGCCTACAGGTCACCCAAACGTTCAGGTGAAATTTCAGGAATTCTTGGATGGCTGGCTTATTCGTCAACAAGACTTGTTTGATCGGCTTATTCTTGCAATCAAACCAGAAAATATTCACAAAAGTGATGATCAACATCAAACCCTGATTGATGAAGTTTTGTGTCATTATAAGCAATACTATGAAGAGAAATCAATAACAGCTAGAGAAGATGTGTTTCTCTTCTTTTCTCCACCGTGGTTCACTTCTTTCGAAAGAACTTTCCTCTGGATTGGTGGGTTTAAACCATCCTTGGTTTTCAAAATACTAAACGGCTCTGTCAAGGACATGACAGACGAGCAACAAAATAGGATGGAGATAGTAAAAGTAGAGACGAAAAGTGAAGAACGAGAGCTAACAGAGACAATGGCGATGATACAAGAAAACATAGCGGCAGGGCCATTACTGATATCGGCGAGGCGTGCTCAAAATATGGTAGATGGTGAGGCATCATCAGAACTAGAGGCGGCCATGAGAACCCTGCGCAGTGGAATGGTGGTGGCCTTAGATACGGCGGATGGGCTTCGTGCGACGATAGTGAGGAAGGTTCTGCAGATTCTGTCACCGATACAGACAGTTCAGCTTTCGGCGGGAGCCGCTGAATTTCAATTAAGAGTTAGAAGATCAGGTTTGGAGTGGGACAGACAAAGGGTAAATAGCGAATAACGGTGGCCCAACTGATCATACTGACGGAAAAAGCCCACAAACTTCTGAGATTTCCTTTCCGTAAGCCTGCTTTTAATGTTTATGCCCACCAAAACCAAATAATTAATAAAATTTGCAAGTATCATTTTTATTTTTGATTTAATAGTTAAGAAAATTTATGCTTTCGTCCCGCACCTCTCTTAATTGATTCAACATTACATATTTAAGTAGTATCGTTAACTTTTTATTTGAAGTAAATCAACTCAAACGTACTACACTGCACAAATTCATGGGTTGATGATGTGTATATGGGCAATCTTGAGGGTAACTATTGTGTGCAGGAGAGCCAGAGGCCAATCTTTCCTGAGCTTCAATTAGTTTACATAGATACTCGTAAGTAGGAAACCGTTAAACATTTTGTAACGTAGTTCTGCAGCATATGGATGAGAATGACAAAATGATGATACCTTATGCTCTTCAAACTACAGCTTAATCGCTAGACATTCCTGTTAGTGTGAGCTAAGGGCCAAGTCTAACAGGAAGTATATTTTCATCTGGGTTAGATTACGATGGGTTCTAACTATGAGCCTGTTCATATCTCCCGCTTCGGGGATTGGGCCCATTTGAACCACTTCAATTCAAAGAAATTTCACACTAATCACTACTCGTAAAAACCATTCTTAGATGATCGGGTGGGACGAGATGGACTCTTGAGTGTATTACTTAAGAGATTTTGAGTTCAATTCTCCTCAGTTGCTAATAAAAGTGACCACTAGAGGGTTTACCTGGTCATTAACCGCAAGACTCTAAAAGATTTAGTTGAAATACATGATAAATTGTGCTTAAACAAACCACCTTACCCCCCCCCCCCCCCCCCCCCCCCCCCCCCCCCCCCTTCTCTTCTTCAACCAACAACTAATTTATGTTATATGAATTGGGTAAATTTTGTTCAATCGCTTCAATAAACACTTCTTTGTCGAACAGATTTATTCATGAAAACTCCACCAAAATCAAAGACTTATCCCAAAAAAAAAAAAAAAAACAGAAACTTGTCCATATAATAAAATTGAATCACTTGATTTGTATTAAGTGGATCATATGTCTAGAATGCCCATTAAATATTGAGACAAAGAATGGTGGGCGGGCTGAGGCTAAAAAAATAAATGGGCCTATAAAATTATAGATAACACGCGTGTAGACGCGTGAGTAGTGCTGAGTCCAAAGCAAAGCAACATTCCAGAATCTAAAAAATGGCGAAGAAGTTTCATTTTCATATTGTCTGTGGCATTCCCCAATTCCCGGTGGCTCTCACCGCCAATCAATTTCAATCCATACAAGTCCTTACCCAACTCAAAAGGGCTAACATCCATATATCCATCCAAAAAGACTTAGGAACACCTTCACCACGAAGCAAAATCACAAAATAATAAAAGTTCTACCTTTATTACTAAGTATTTATTTTATTAATAAACAAATTGTTAACCGACAGCGACAGCCTGCCACCCCCTTACAATCCATAAGTATATAAGGGCAGGTCTCTGCCTCTTCCTCTCACCATCAGCATGGCTCACCTAACCCAGCCAAATCCAAACTTTGGACTCAATTTCCAACCATTCTTCAGTGGCTGGTTGCTGTCAGCAGAATTTTATTGATCAGCTCATCTCAGCAATTGCACCAGAAAATATTCACAACAATGAGCAACACCAGAACTTGATTGATCAAGTTCTATCTCATTACCAACATATTATGAAGAGAATCATTAGCAGCAAGAGAAGATGTATTTCTCTTCATTTCTCCTCCATGGTTCAGTTCTTACGAAATACTTTTCTTTGGCTTGGCGGGTTTTGACCATCCTTACTTTTCAAGCTACTTAACAGCTCAGTCAAGGATTTAACGGAAGAGCAAGAACATGAAATGGAGCAACTAAAGGGGAGACAAGAAGGGAGGAGAGAGAGCTATCAGAGACAAGGCGCGGCTTCAAGAGAGAATAGCAGCACCATCACTGTTCATTTTAGCCAGGAATTTTGTATATTTAGTGGACGGTGAGGTGTCGGACGCAAGATGCCGCATTGAGAGAACTGCAGGCGGGGATGCTGTTGGTTTTAGAGCGGCTGATGGTCTTCGTGGGACGGCAATGAGGAAGATTTGCAGAATTTGTCTCCAATTCAGACAGTCAAGCTTTGAAGCAGCGCCTGGTCAGTTTCATTTGAGGGTTAGAAGGCTAGGTGAGGAGCGAGATCAACAAACAGTGCAATAATCCTAGTTCACATGCTCCCTCTCAGACATGCAAAATATCAAAAAAATATAAATGATGATGATAGTATAAGTCTTGGATCCTAACCAAGACATAACCTGGAGTTGGATTTTATGTTGTTTGGTCAAAGGAGTCTAATTCTGTTTGTTTCTTATCTTTGTATTCTATTTTTTTTCCAATGCTCTAAGAGAATTTGTTTGACTTGTTCTTCAAATATTTTTGGAATTGACGAATAAAACCGTGGTCTTCAAATTTTGCATCCAGTTGCGGCATTGTCTCATCACTGTAATAAGCCCAAATTAAAGCCCACTCCAAGAACGGCGTGCTCCGTTGCCCTCGTTTTGGGCTGCTGATGATGGGCCGAAATTTCCATCCTTCTCTGTGCTTTGGGCTGTCGGTGGCCGATTGCATTACCTACTCCGGAACCGGTGAGCCTTTTCTAATCGATTATAGAAGTTAATAATGTTGAATACCGATTAGAAATAATTTATGATAAACTGATAGTAACTTAAATTCTTAATTAATGGTTAATATAAATTAAAAAACAAAATATTTGATGTTGATATGAAGCATCTCTCTAGAAAAGTCATTCCTCTTATCTTGACAAATTAATATATAAAATTCGGAAAAACAAACTCATAAAAATTTATATAATTGAATAAATCATATGTACAAAATTTTCTATATATTTTGGTCTTTAAAAATGGGAGTAGCTACTGCAGTTAAAGTATATTTTTTTAATAAACTGATTCAATTTGAAAACCACATAGATAAATAATTAAATACTGCACTTCCACTAATCTATTGTTAATAATATATTGATCAAACTGATTCAAGCAGAGAAAATTATTGCAGTACTACTACTGGTCAATCTTGTGGATTGATGATACCAGTGGAAATTGGGTAGATTGTTGAAACTTTGAAGGAATCATTGACTGATTACTCGATTAATATTATTGCACCATTGGAATTTATTGTGTTTTGTCGTTGATAAAAGTCCCATTGCAGTGTACAAATGTAACTTGTTCATCCTTGGCTTCTGGGTTCTAAGATCATCAATCATCATGTTGATTTGAAGAGTCATATTTGGTTGGTGGATTATTAGGCCAAGAACCACCGTTACATCATGAAACAAAGTTGCAAATTGATTAATTTTTAATGCCTTTCTAACTGAAAGGACATAGCAAAAGTAGTAATTGAGATTTCCTATTCTTCTAGCATAAAGCTATGCATAAGTTGAAGACTGAAGAAGCTGCTGATTTCATAGAATTAGTGGAAATTAATAAAAAAAAAAGTGGGTGAGGTTTGTCTTTCTAATTTGCGTGTCAACATCTTTGTATATAAAATCTTATCTCATTGTTTAAAGGATGCAGGGCTCCATCGATGTTATTTGAATGGGAAAGGCAGAGCAAAAGCTGCGAATTGGGATGGTCAAAGTTGTCTGACTTAGTGGGATATTTGATTACAAAGACCAAGACTGTTTAGAGATGGGCTATCACATCATGCACTGAAAATTGGCATTTTTAATTGACGAAAAACTTTAAATTTCTGATAATTCTTTTTTTTTTTTTTTTTAAGTTTGGTCGGTTTCGTTGAGTGAAAATGTGGTGGAAAAGTACCACAACCACCCTCTTAAGTGTAAGTGGATTTATATGTGTTCATGTTTGCTTTTAAAACGACATGTTTAAATTATATTGGTGGATCTTCCGAGTGATATTCTCACTTGTGTTTGTGGCTCTTTTACCCTGGCCTTAGTCATTAATTAAGTTTAGGAATCCTATACAATTGTTGTTAGTTTGATAGCCTTTGCTGGGATTACAAGTAGTATCTGCTCTGCTCACCAATATTCTCTAATTACAATGAATAATCAATACAGATGCACTTTTCTCAAGGAATATTGGCTCCTTTTTTCACAAAAATCTCTGTGCAGTAATCAGTATTTCCGTGCTCGTTCGTTATGATTTGAGTTCCTTCAACCACTTTTCTGGAGGGTTCTAAACAAATCGATAAAAAAAAAAAAATGTGTTGCTTATTATGGTCTGATTCTATGACATAAAGGGAATGGATGGACCGCAGCTGATGACTTTACACTTACACATGGTTTTTATGTTAAATGTTTATGGTGTATTTTTTTGGAGCTTTCGAATGGGTTTGTGCATATTTTATCTAATATTTTGAGTCTTTTAATATACAGAAAAACAAGTAGCCCTTAAACTCTCATAATCGACTCTCACTTTATATGGGTCTTCCTTAATTCTTTTGGATAAGTTTTTTCTGTCATTATCTTCTTTCCTTGAACCAATTATCCTACCATTAACCAATTATAATGCCAAAAGAAACTCCTTTATAGTCGAGGAAGGAACGTACTTTCTAAGCTGTGATTTATGATACCTACTGGCTACTACATAGCTTTTGTAGAGATGCCTACTAATAACTGTAATTTATTAAAGCACAAGAAGAAGATAGAAAGAAAGTTGCAAAGCTGTGTCCAAATGTGAAGAACCGGAAATTAACTGAATGGAATGGCTTATTATTAAGCAATTTTTTTTTTTAATTTCTTCATAATTAATTAATGTATGAATTTAGTTCTATATACTATCATAAAAAAAAAAAAAATCTGAGTCCTTGAGATCTCACGTAGTATTAATTAAAATAGTTATTAATTGAAAGAACAAATTAAAACATAATCTACTTTATAAATTTATTAATCTTTAACCTTATATATTATAAAACCAGCTTAAACATAAAATTCCATCACCAAATATATATAATAGATTACTTGTGGGAGATTATCAATTTAGGGAAGCTACGCCTACGATTATTCTCACAACCTTCTTTTTAAACCTTGAC